AGATGGGCCCATCGCTGCTCAAAGTGGCCAATCTGCTCCTTCACCAACTCTTTATCATCCAGGTTTAAGTGGTACATTACTTTTTGCTTCTGCTCTTTGAGGTCCTCAAGTGTGCTTTTCTTTTCTTTAAGAACAACCGAGAGCTTCCGAAGAGCCTCCAAATGATCAGATGAACTCTCAGCATCAGTTCTACAAGATCATAAAATAATAATGTAACTCCCAGAAGTCTCAAATTACACTTCCGTTGTAACACTAATTAAAAGTGACATATGAATACATTTACACTAAATCCTGAATAACAGTTTTACCTGGCCAGGTTGTCCCATTCCTTGGACACCTGCTCAAAGAGGGCTTCCATGGCACTGATGCAGTCATGATACTCTTTAGTCCTCTGCAGATCTTCCTCTCTCTGAGCCTGCAGATTGTTGGCCTGATGGCACAGCTCCAACCATGCATGGCTCAGTCGTCCAATCTCTGTATGCTCAGGAGACTCCTGCCCTTCTGTCAGCTTACTTACAAGCTCTGTCATTGTAGTCAGAGTGCTTTGTCTGTTTTGAAGCTGCTGGCCAAATTCCTACAGGCAACATGAGCACAGAGAATAAGCCAAGTGTATAAAAAGAGACAACATGAGAAATGAAAAAAAACAAAACACTCTTTTATGTTATAAATAAATCACCCTGGTCCTAATGTGAACAATTCATCTGCGCACGTTATTCTAAAAATAAAAATGTCTGTTTTCATAATCTATCATCAAAATGTAATAACTATCTCCACAATGGAAACACTTTGCTTTTTCCGCCTTCCTGCTGATGTAATCAATGCCAGGGCATGTGACAAATAATATAAATCAATAAAATCATAGCCTACTTTACATAATTCAATAAAAAAAACTAAATCCAACCCTACATTATTTCCAAATGAATATATAGTTTGATTCAAAGTGCATCAAATTATAGAAGTTAAAAGTATGTAAATGTCATTCTAAGTTGTTTAAAAAAATAATAATAATAAATAATAAAAAAAAAAAATATATATATATATATATATGTGTGTGTGTGTGTGTGTGTGTGTGTGTGTGTGTGTGTGTGAGTGTGTGTGTGTGTTTGTGTACGTGTATAAATATATATTACATATTAAAGATTTTTTATTTGAAAATTATATATATAAAATTCAACATAAATATGACATTTACTTTGGCTTGATCAAGCATGTTTTGAGCAATCTTGGGCTCCAACTCAGCTGGTCTCCTGGATAGACTTTGCAATTGCTGTTCCATATCTTGGAAAAGTGTTGAGAGTTCCTGTTTTTGCTCTTTAATCTCCCTCCAGCTATCCGACAGCTCTTGAGAAATGGTCATCCTCTCCTCAATCTGAAGAATTCACAATATCAATCACATTATTAGTAACTGTATAATTTCATATCCCATAGCAGTGTTAGTTGATTCTGTGTAATCAAACTCACCATCGTTTTGGTTTCCTGTATTTTGGCAGCTGTGGCTCTCACAGACTCATCAGATAAATCACACACTGAACAAACCAGGTCCAGATATGTGCTGGCCTGCTCCTGTAGAGCCCTAAAGTGCTTCACCTGTGAATAAGCAGTCAAAATGTAACTAAATATATTTAGGTTGTCTGGACAACTTTGAAACTGGTTTGTATTAGCATAGAATCATTCTGCAGCTCTGTGGCATCTACCTGTTTCAGAGCCTCTTGGAGGCCATAGGGAGTCTGCGCTTGCAGTTGGATCTCCTCTTTAACGGTGGACAGCCACGTCTGACACTGCTGCAGTGTGTCCTGATGGCTGACGTGCTTCTGGAGCTCACGGTCCAGACTCTGATACACCTGATGAGCCAAATGTTAACCATTAGACCGAAATAATAAGATGATATTTCTGATAATGAGATCCTTTATTAGCAGGAGTGCTCACACGCTGAGCTGTGCTGCAAATAGCCGAATAACTGTCTCTGGTTCCCTGCTGGTGTGCCTGGATCTGCTGACTGATCTTTGCCTGTACTTGCTGTGTGCAGCTACTTGCGAGATGCTCGCCTTTGTCCTTCAGGCTGGTCAAACGCTCCTCAAAACCAGCTATCTCCTCCATTATTGCCTGTGAAGAAACAGGTCAAATCACGTCAAATGATATAGAAAAAGAATTGACAAAAATGAAGGTAAGGAAAGTCAGTAATTCCCCAAAACATATGTGCATATATATTTAAAAGTATAAAGATGTACAAACAGTGTAATATGCCAGGTGCTACAAAAGTAAACAGACTACGAAAATAAACGTTCATGTGAATGCTACAAGGATTTTTGGTAGTTTTATTGATTGCAAGTTACTGTAAAGCTATTGTTCATGGGATATTTGGATGCTATAATAGCAATAATAACACACCTTGTGTCTGGCTAGTTGTTGTGTGGCTGTCTCTAGATTACCACTTAGCATGGAATCAGAGGTGACCAGCCTGCTAGACATCTGTAACAGCCATTTCTCTACTTCTTGGAGTTCACTGTTATAGTCTTCATGTTCTCTCACGCTCTCCGTCAAACTCTGAACGTGGACCTACAACAGAACAATATTAGATGAGCAATAATGCATGGAATCTAGGAAGCCGAGACCATTTTTGCATGACAGTACCTTGGCATCATTGCATAATTCTTGATAGTCAGCTTTCAGCTTGCTGATGTTCTCGCTGATAGACGGGTCACGGATTGTTTCAAGAAGTGCATCTCCCTTCTCTATAACTGATTTGACTGCTGACTCATGGGACTGGATGGTCTGCTGGATTGTCTAGAAGGGGACAAAGGAAACATTTGACATGACTCTCTGAAGATGGTTACATTTGTCATCCGCATAACTAATTCAGTGCATGTATCTTCTTTACTCACCAAAACATAAGTGTTTTGCTCACCTTGTATTTGGCTAGCTGAGCCTTCTTTTGGTAAAGTTCAGCTTTTGGCTCCACTGGAGTCGCCAGCAGTGATTTGGTCTCTGTAAGCCATTGTGTTTGAGTCTTGTATTTGTCCAGGAAGTCTTTGGAGAGCTGTATGGATTTCTCTGTGGCACTGAGCTCTGACCGCAGAGCTCTGATCAACACCTCCAGCTGGGAGAGTCGGGTGTCGACTTCTTCCTTGAGCTGCTCTGCCTCAGGTTCCTCCAGGAAAGTCATGGCACGATCCGTCTTTTCACGCATGGTCTTCAGGAAGGTGTGACCCAGCTCCATGTCACCTTGCAGAGCCTGAGACATTAAATATAAAGTTTCTTAGGCACGTGAACTTTCAGAAGTCATTCTAATATGCTGATTTGGTGCTCAAGAAACATTTCTTATTATTATAAATGTTGAACGCAGTTGTGCGGATTAATATTTTTGTGGAAACCGTGATACAGTATTCTTTTTGCAGTATTCTTTGATGAATAGAAAGTCCACAAGTCCACTGCATTTATTTGAAATAGAATTTTTTTTGTAACATTATAACTGTCTTTACTGTCACTTTAATGCATCCTTGATTAATTTAATGTGTCCTTGCTGAATAAAAGTATTAATTTTTTCCACAAAAAAAAAGAACTCTTTAGTTAATAACCAAAGCTACCTCTAGTTTTTTCATCTTCTTCTCCATGGCAACACGATCAACCACATCAATGGTGGTGGTGGTCACACCGCTGAAGTTCTTTTGTGCTGTGCTCAACCAATCAGAGAAGGTGCCGAAGACACTCTGGGATTCTTCAATGCAGGAAACTTCCTCCTTCAGTTGCTTAATGGTGTCCTACAAACACATTTAAAATAGTAAAATTTAGCATGATCCTTTGTGTTATACAGATATGTGTTTTAATCCTATCATTTAATGTCTAATTGACTAAAAATGTCCCAGAAATTGACAAGACATCTTAGAAAGAAAAGAGTGCTTTATAAGTAAATATTTCTAAATTATAAAAATAAATTTTTATTCTGAAAATTGTACTCCTTTACAATTAATATAATATAATATAATATAATATAATATATAAAGTCAATGGTAGTTTATGGTATGTCCTGATTTAGGTGTGTATGTTTAAAGTCTACCAGCAAGTGTAGCAGCAGGGCATGATAGCGTGACGTGAGTTGTGTAGCTCTAGTGCTGACTCTGCTGCTGATGGGCGTCTCTTCTAAAACTTGTTGGGCCAGGACACTGAGACCCTCTATCTCCTCCTGATAAGCCAGCACCTCCTCATGCCAACCCTAAAGAGATATCACAAGAACATATCAGACTCCATCCATACATATATTCTACAGGAACAGCTCTCTTTGCAAATAAAACAAAGACTGCTGGAGTATGTTAAACAAGAAAATGCTAATTCAGTTATTCTACTTCAAAAAATCTGTTAATTGCTCTTTCTGCAGATTTGTGAAATTTACTAGCAATCAGTAAAAATGGATTCAAAGTAAATCCTACACTGTTTTTTCACTGTATGGTTCCTAGACTAACCGTCAGGAGCTGTAGCTGGGCCTCTTTTGTTGCTCTGTCAGAGCGGCGGCCGGAGCGTAATTGTCCTTTAGTTTCCATCTCTTTGAGCCAGTTATCCAACCGCTGGAACTTCTGTTCTATCTGCCGGAGTTTGGCCAGAGCGCTGTTGAGTTGAGATCTGGTGTCACCCAGCCGGGTCTGATACGAGCCCCACTCCTGCTGGACCATCTCCAGACATCGGTCCTCTAACTGCGGGACGCCCCATGGAATCACCTGCTCTCGGGTCACCAGCAGTGTGTTGAGCAGGGCTTGACCCTCTGTGCAATGCACCTGAAGCTCCTGGAGACAGATAACAGAGTAATTTCTCTAATGCATATTTATATTAAAACCCCAAATAATCAAACTATTCAGCAGACATTACAAAAAAACTTCCATTATGAATATGGATGCACAGTATATTGGCAATTACATCGGTATTTGCCAATCTTGCCATTTCTTTAAATAAGTGACTCTAAACCAGGGGCCCCGAGCAAACTTGATGTCTTAACTGTAATTATTTAAATATAATTTAAATATATAATTATTTAAATATAAAATATATTATTAATAACAATTCATTATTTAATAAAAATAAATAATAATACAAATAACTGTTATTATTATTATTATTTTTATACATTAAAACAATCTAACTTAATTTAAAAAACAGTATTCTCTTCTTCTGTCTGGTCACAAAAATATTAAACAATTATGCATCTTTCTAGCATATATTATAATGTTTTGATACATATTCTATATAAATATTCATATATTTACATATTTATTATGAGCATGTTATTTAAAAGCAACAGAAAAATCATTAAATTATATCATTTATAATGTCAGACATTATAATAATTACATATAAATAATTAGCTATTCGAATGAACCAAAATTTAAATAGACTATATCAGTGCATTAGTAATATTTACTGGTAAATACTGGTGTAAACAAATCTCTCTCTATATACAGTACATATATAATAATACATCATTATTTAATGTAATTTCAAACAGTCAGAAAGTTGATTCATATATTTTTGATAATATGTTTGAATATACACATTCTACTTATGTTAAGCATTTTATATTTGTTTATGATGTATTTAAATAATTCGCCAGATTATTTTTTCTAAATATAATATAACTAAATATAAAAAGCATTCGTAAAAATATCCTGCAAGATGTTTTAAAGTCAAGAGAGATAAAATGAACAAATAATGTGTCACAATAGGTACGTGAAGACGTCTTCTGACCTGTAGTTTGCGTAGCGTGTCCTCTAGAGTCTCGACGTCTCCCTCCAGCTGTGTGTAGCAGCTCAGTCTCTCCTGCTGCTGCTCCAGCCAGTCTTTAAACTCATGCAGGGCGCGCTGGTATTCCTGATGGGCTGACGCCAGCTCCTCCGCTTTGGCAACTGCACACTTTGGCAGAAAAATATGGCAGAGTCCATTAACACAAATATTCAGCATATTCTATAAGGTGACCAATGAGAGCGGTGCATTATACCTGGGCTTTATCTTTGACAATATTGTAACGCTCTTGCAAGTCCTGAATCTCTAGCTGGGTGACATAGTGCTCGGCCATGTTGGATCCCTTCATGGATATGACATCCAAGATGCTGCTGTGACTTAAAACATCCTCTAGGAGCAACTGAAATGAGAATGTTTGTATAGTATGTCAGGACTGACAACAACTAGAATGCAATTACTCGGAGACTCAAAGCATTGACAGTAACACCATACTTTGGCTTTGCCCAGGTTGGCGGTTTTGTCTCTCATCTCAGAGCACTGTTTGTCTGCAGAGTTTAAAGTCTCTTCCACAGTCTCCATCCAGCTCACAAACTGACGCACGTCCTCCTGGTAACTTGTCCACTGTGACAGAGCGCCCTCCAGCTGGCTGTTTAAACCCAAACAACAACAGTAAGCAAATTCAACTTCAGTCAAGATCTCTCTTCTCATCAAGAACTGCTTTTGGCTGTATGGGATTCTAGAGTTGGCAATATAGGGCTAGATATTCTGTTAGGAGTCTTTTGTTTTTAACTCAACAATTAATGAAAAGCTGTTATTAAAGCAATTATTATTTTCGATTCATCATTTATTTCAATAATGAATATACAGGTGCATCTCAATAAATTAGAATGTCGTGGAAAAGTTAATTTATTTCAGTAATTCATCTCAAATTGTGAAACTCGTGTAGTAAATAAATTCAGTGCACACAGACTGAAGTAGTTTAAGTCTTTGGTTCTTTTAATTTTTAACCCACCAATTCACCATCTCAACAAACTAGAATACTTCATATTACCAATAAAAAAAAACATTTTTAGTGAATTGTTGGCCTTCTGGAAAGCAAGCTGGTCTTACTATTAAGATCTTATTATTCATGTGAATATATGAATAAATATATGTAATGAAATTTGTAATGTAATATATAATATTTATTTAAAATTGTTTTTTAATAAAAAATATTTTAAATATAGAGCAGAATGAAAATGTAATTATATATATTTAATAAACCTTTTTTGCCTTTTCTCTCAACTATAATATATATATAGACACACACACCGTAATCACAGTATAAATGTACCATAATGTAGTAAGATTTTGATCTTAGTGTAGATCTTAGTGTAGATGCTTAATATGACTTGAATCAAAGTAGATATTTAAAGGGGTCATCCGATGCCCATTTTCCACAAGTTGATATGACTCTTTAGGGTCTTAATGAAAAGTCTGTAACATAGTTTGGTTAAAATTTCTCAATGGTAGTGTAAAAAACACATTTTTACCCTGTCAAAAACAGCTCTTTTCAGAGCAAGCCGTTTTGTAGCATTTTCCTTTAAATGTTAATGAGCTCTGCTGACTCTGCCCCTCTCTTCCGAGCCGCTCTCTGAGGGACTGTTTACTTTAGCCGAGTTCATCGTGAAACTTGCTAATTAGCACATTATTAGGGAAGGCGATTTGCAAAGATTCATTACGAAACATTAAACTCACTTCTTCTGTAGGTGAAGCTGGATCACAAATGATTTGCATGAACATAAATGCATTTATGTAGGTCGGGGGGCGCATTCCCTTCAGAAACAAACGTAATCCACTGCGTTTTCAGCGGCTCAGATGTCGGGAGTAAATGACGACTGCTATGTTGAATCGATTTTGCTTGACAATCCTCATAAGGCTGCGGTTCTCTCGGTTGGTTGTGCATCTTTTTCTTCCACACTTTTTCCTTCCACTCAACTTTCTGTTAACATGCTTGGATACAGCATTCTGTGAACAGCCAGCTTCTTTGGCAATGAATGTTTGTGGCTTACCCTCCTTGTGAAGGGTGTCAATGATTGTCTTCTGGACAACTGTCAGATGTCTTCCCCATGATTGTGTAGCCTAGTGAACCAAACTGAGAGACCATTTTGAAGGCTCAGGAAACCTTTGCAGGTGTTTTGAGTTGATTAGCTGATTGGCATGTCACCATATTCTGATTTGTTGAGAATTTCATCACAATTAAAAGAACCAAAGACTTAAACTACTTCAGTCTGTGTGCATTGAATTTATTTAATACACAAGTTTCACAATTTGAGTTGAATTACTGAAATGAACTTTTCCACGATATTCTAATTTATTGAGATGCACCTGTAAAGCTGGTCTTACTATTAAGATCTTATTATTCATGTGAATATATGAATAAATATATGTAATGAAATTTGTAATGTAATATATAATATTTATTTAAAATTGTTTTTTAATAAAAAATATTTTAAATATAGAGCAGAATGAAAATGTAATTATATATATTTAATAAACCTTTTTTGCCTTTTCTCTCAACTATAATATATATATAGACACACACACCGTAATCACAGTATAAATGTACCATAATGTAGTAAGATTTTGATCTTAGTGTAGATCTTAGTGTAGATGCTTAATATGACTTGAATCAAAGTAGATATTTAAAGGGGTCATCCGATGCCCATTTTCCACAAGTTGATATGACTCTTTAGGGTCTTAATGAAAAGTCTGTAACATAGTTTGGTTAAAATTTCTCAATGGTAGTGTAAAAAACACATTTTTACCCTGTCAAAAACAGCTCTTTTCAGAGCAAGCCGTTTTGTAGCATTTTCCTTTAAATGTTAATGAACTCTGCTGACCCCGCCCCTCTCTTCCGAGCTGCTATCAGAAAGACTTTACTTTATTTACTTTAGCCGAGTTCATCGTGAAACTTGCTAATTAGCACATTATTAGGGAAGGCGATTTGCAAAGATTCATTACGAAACATTAAACTCACTTCTTCTGTAGGTGAAGCTGGATCACAAATGATTTGCATGAACATAAATGCATTTATGTAGGTCGGGGGGCGCATTCCCTTCAGAAACAAACGTAATCCACTGCGTTTTCAGCGGCTCAGATGTCGGGAGTAAATGACGACTGCTATGCTCATTATTACATCCAACAACAGAACACCTCAATCACTTAGGAGTCATTCTTGTCTACACCTGCTCCGGCGGTGAAACAATGGCGGACTGATGACAGCTCACTCAGGGCGGGTCTAAGGTAAGATGCCAGTCCAGTCTGTGCTGAAACGCTACTGTCAATCAAACTATCGTGGGAGGGGCCTGTCTGTGTGACATCACACAGACAGGCATCTGAGATCGGCTCGATTTGAGAAAGGGGTAAAGATTTTAGTACATTAAAAAAAAAGCACTGGGTGGATTTTTATCATTATAGGGTGGTTGTGTACAGTTCAGTTCAAACAACTTGTAAAAGTTGTTGACCCCTTTAATATCTGTCTTCTCCAGGCCAGATGTATCTCACATTAGGTCGCTGCACTGATATTAATAAGACCATACTGACCTCTTGCATTGAATAGAAGCCGACAACAGTTCATCCCATGAGTCTTTGAGGTCTTCGATTTGTTGGCGGACCAGCAGTACACCCTCAGCGGAGGTGTTTCTCTGGGCTGACTCTCCTCTCGTCAGCAGCATTTTCAGCTGTATCTCCTTCTCTTGGCGTGCCGTCAACAAAGCCTGGAAAACACAGATGCATTCATGTGAAAACCCTCATTACAAGTACACTACATACTAAGAGCCATGAAATGAAATGCAAAGCCGAATTTCTTTCTAATTAAATTTTTCTTTGTGAGATGGCGCCGACGGTGATGGCTGCCTCCGTGGCGTGCTCCTCAGTTGTTTTTATGTTTTTGTTAGTTTGTCCTGTCTTTAGTTATATCCCTGCAATCAGTTTCACCAGAGACGAATTGCTGGACATTCGGCAGTACACACCGCCCGGTATTTCACCGGTTTTCGATTATTCTGATGTTTTGCTGGACATTGTAGTCGGGGGAGCAGCAGCACTGTTCAGACGCTTCAGGACGCGCAGACGGTCGTGAAGCTCAGGCAGCGCGGATTCAGGACGCCGTTGCCTAGCATCCATCTGGCGAACCTCCGCTCTCTACCCAACAAAACGGACGAACTCCTTCTGCTCTCCTGGACAAATAAGGATTTTTCAAAATCTGCTGCTCTGTGAAACCTGGCTGAAAGACGCCATTCTGGACAGCGCGTTGAGTCTCCCGGGCTTTCAGCTGTTCAGAGCGGATCGCGATGCAGAATCAATGGGAAAATCACGCGGCGGCGGGACATGCTTTTACATCAATGAGAGGTGGTGTACAGATGTAACTGTGTTAAAGAAGATGTGCTGTTCAGATATAGAAGTGCTCTTCATTAACTGTAAGCCTTTCTACTCGCCACGGGAGTTTTGCTCATTCATTCTCGTCAATGTCTACATTCCTCCGCAAGCGCACGTGAGCTCCGCTTTACAGAAACTCGCTGATCAGATCACAGACACAGAACAACAACACCCGGACTCTGTTTTAATCATTCTCTGGGATTTTAATAACGCCAATCTCTCCCGTGAACTGCCAAAATACAGACAGCACATCACATGTCCCACCAGAGACAGTAATATATTGGATCACTGTTATACCACAATAAAGAATGCATATCACTCTGTTCCACGGGCCGCTTTGGGGCTCTCTGCACCAGAACGACCAGACACAGGAACAGTTTCTTCCCTCAGGCCATCCATCTCATGAACACTTAACAATAACTGTGGAACACACACTATTTATACACTCATACACTTATTTATCTAACACTCATACTCAGTCTACACCTCAAATTTGCACATAATATACCTGTACATAGAAAACTGTCTATTGAAATATACCTGCACATACAATTGTTTTTTGTTCTGTCACTGTCATTCTGTTACACTGTGGAAGCTTCTGTCACGAAAACAAATTCCTCGTATGTGTAAACATACCTGGCAATAAAGCTCATTCTGATTCTGATTCTGAATACTTCAGCTGAAATGTTCAGAATGGAGTACTAGTGTACTACTGAATACTAAAAGTAGTATGGGAAGCAGTATGCAACATTCAACAATAAACATTTCAATAGTGTAGTATGTACAGTAGCATGCTACAATACACTGATGTTGCATGACCTCACTACATTTTATGTTTGATTCATGCGGCATCCAGTTATTGTTTTGGAAATAAATCAGGTTATTTATGGTGACATATACTCTCACCTCGAGTTTGATCATCCTGCTGTCCAGCACGTTCTTGTCTGCGGTGGGAGTGCAGTAGGTTTGCAGCATGTGACTGGTATCAGCCACCCAGTTCTGCAGCTCTTTCAGGCCCTGCGAGAACAGCTGGTGCTCGGACACGATGCGCTCGATTCTAGAGGCTTTTTCCTATTGGACAAGCACAACATAATCAGATGAATAATCACATCCCTGAGATAAAGTGACTCGAGAGAGTAACTGTGGATTCAGTACATAATCATAACATACAGTTTAGTAATTAATCATTCGGTAAGGGAAGTATCTTAATAGAAACAGTAAATGTGTTAAAAGGAAAGCAGCTGAGAGCTTTTCAAGTCATGTTGTACAGTATATTTATTAATTCTGGAGGTCTAATCCATATGATTTTTTTCTTTATTAGTAGATACTAGGCCATAAAAATGCCAACTTACACTGCTCTAAATACATAATTTCTGTGCAACAAATAAAAAAATTAGAAGTGAAAAAAATAAGTTTAATTACTCCATATAAAGTTTCCATGTTAAAAATGTTCTCCACCCAAAACTGACTGTGTCCGAAAGCAAAGGGATTGACCAGTTGGTCAATGACTTAACAAACAGTGTTTATATGAAAGCACATCTAAAGAAAAATGGTTTCAGATGTCACAATGTCATGTCTAATGATGTAGAAGAAATTCATATTTGTATTTTGCATATCAAAGAAAATACTTAATGACCATAATACTTCTTAGTAGAAATTATATCAGAAATCAACCTAAATCAAATAAAAAAATTAACTAATACAAATTAAATTAAACAAATAACAATTAAACAAATAAAATACAATTATTTAAATATAATATAAAATGCTTTCAAATTAAACAATCAAACTAACTAACTAAATAAATAAATAATTACAATTTCTAAATGAGTTCTAAATTAACTGTTCCAATCAGACACCACTTAGTGACAGGACATTACAAAAAAAAAAAAAAAAATTCTAAAACAAAATCATTTTAAATGAATAAATAAATGAAAAAATAAATACAATTAAAATTAAATAAAAAAAAATTAAAAAAAGAAATAAAAGATTCAAAAATACAAATAAACAAACAAATCTAAATTTAGAAATTGATTTACTGTTCCAACAGACACCATTTGGTGACAGGACATTACAAAAAATATTATTTATTTTTTAAAATATTACATAAAAAATAAATGAAAAAATAAAACACCATTTGGTGTCACTCAGGACATTACATAAACACTAGATTAGGACATATTTTGATGCCATTCCACCTTCATTTGCTGCCTAAGGTTTTGGACACAGCCCTATGTACACATACAGTTTGTCGACCCCTGCAGCATTAGGGACAGGTAGCCAGCAGGCAGACAGGCGGGACATTACCTTGGTCAGGTTGCTTAAAGCTAGGTACTGAGCTGAGAGCTGCGAGACACGGTGCACAAAGCCCTTTCCGGCCGTGTGTCCGTCCCACAGCTGCTGGGCCTTCACCCTCAACCTGTGCAGCTGAGACTCCTTAGAGGCTAATTCCTCTAGCAGAGACTGTGAAAGCACAGGCATGTTAGCACAGAGCAGCATCGCACACACTCCTGTGTTAGCAGATGATTAATAAAGCAACATGGCAGCACATGAACAGGACAGACCGTGAGACTGGGGACAAGCCATGTTAATATGAGTATGACAGGAATGCAGATTAAAGCATGATGTGAATGCAGCTGTCTTATACATTTGATCACATGCACTGATTGATTTCTGCATACATTTTGACATTAAAGTCAACATGAAACGCAATATGACCCTACTTACTTTTATAATACACATGCCCTGTGCTGTTATTGTAACTAAAACTAAAATTGTAAAATATTAAACTTGTTTGCATTCATTGAAACAAAGCTGAAATAAAATAAAATATAAATATTAGATGAAAAACTTTAAAACTAAATTTAAATGTTGCCTTGGCCACTAACTGCAATGAATTGTGTGCTAAAAAAAAGTGCTAGATATACTAATATTATAAAACCAAAACTAAATATTTTTAAATATGAAAAATACACAAAAATGACTAAAACTAGAAAATGTTTCATTACAAATGAAAATATAAAAATTATTTAAAATATTAATAAATACCAGAATAGTATATAAATAATATTATTAAAATAGAACTGGCAAAAATCTTCATAATTTCATCATAATAAAATTACTTATGCTTTTCATATTATGTCACCAAAGCCATGCAGGCTATTGCATAATTTTAATCAACAGCCAAAGTATACATGTTTCTTACTGAATTTCTAATTCCGCTGAGAAATTTGTCCCATTATGGAAATTAAATGTGCTGTGAATGCTATTTCATGTTCACATTAAAGTGCCCCTATTATAGATTTTTGAAAATGTACCTTTCATGCAGTGTGTAACACAGCTTTAAGTGAATGAAAACATCCTGCAAAGTTTTAAATCTGAAAGTGCACCGTGTATAAAGTGATTGTCTCTCAAACGAAAGAGTTGATTCTGAATCATTGAAACGAGTCGTTTTTAAAACGAATCCCAAGCCGTTTCATGTTGACCTCATCATGAAACATTAGCATATTGCCCGCCCACTTGTTGGTCTTTTCGTGTTGGTCTGAATGAAAATACAAATTTATTCTTTGCCACTAGGTGCAGCTTTTGGAGTGGTAAAAATAGTGGTTTCCGCGGTAACGCTGTACACAAAGCAGCACTGTGCTCACAAACACTGCTTTATCAGGCATTACAGGCGAGATGAAATGAAAATGAGACCAATCAGACCAATCACCACAGATTAGCGTCACGCAAAGGAGGGGTTTGGAAAAATGAATCGTTGAGCGAATCGTTTGGGAGTCGTTGAGCAAGTAAGGTAAAAATAAATGCATATTATAAGACAATCAAAGTGTTTTTTGACCTTGCATGCATGTCGACCTGTTGTTGGGGACTCCCAAAACCAAAATATGAACCTTTCATAACCCATAATAGGGGCACTTTAATATATTAAAATCAAAAATAATGTATAATACATAAAAAACAAACCCACTCTATAAATAAATAAATACAATAAAAATAAACGTAACTATATTTATATAAAATAAAAATATATCTCAAATAAATTGATTTAAATATTTAAAACATATCTATATTCACAAAATCATATGAGCAAAATATTGACAAAAAACCTGTAAAGATAATTTGAGCAGCGCAACTACTCCGATCAGCTAGAATGCTGCTTGTGAATGGCTCTTCTGCTGATGGCTGTGGGTAGAGCTGGTTTTGATTACGCTGTACTGCACCTGTAACCTGTGCAGCTCCTGCTTCTTGGCTGTGAGGTCATGCAGCCGACTGCTGCTCTCTTGAACGGCCTCCTCGGTTTCATTCAGCCAGTCCTGGAGCGGCTCCACGCTCATTTCAAAGTCCCGCATCTGAGCCTGGAGATTCTGGAAGAAAAGAATCAATGACGGTGCATTTAAAGTGAGAATGACTGATTATAGCTAGATCAGATGTTTTTTGGTCTACTGAGGTCTATGATATAAATTATTTACTTAAGTACACCTTGAGATTGCAAGTAATGTTCTAACCTTTCAAGAAATATCGAATAACATGAATACCAAATGTAACAAGATTTTTAGAACATTGCAGGTAGTTGTTATTGCATTACAGGTCTAAATCAAAAGAGTCTCGGATTCAACAGATGTGTGGATTTATCATCAAATGATGGTCAGACACCTGTAAGGCGGTTTCTCTCTGGTGCAGGTTCTTCATGAGTGTTTTCCAGTCTTCTCTGGCCGAGTTGATTTTGGCTCTGACTGACTCCACTCTTTCTTTGGCAGCGATGCTCATCAGTAGCTCTCCGCTGGCTGACACTGTGTTCAGTTTGCCGTGGCCTTGCTCACGGTCACTCAGAAACTCCTGCAATAAGAAGAACTTACCCTCAGAATCGTAACTGAATTGAGTGGACAACAACAGTAAATCAATAAGATGTTACCTGAATTTTCTGCAGGCTGGATGATGCTTCAGCCAGGTTCTGAGGCACATCGAAACACTTGGCCGTATTGATTTTCGCATTGACCAGCCACTGCTGAAAGTCTCGAAAAGCGGCACGGAAGCGCTGCTCCAGGAGCTTCTCCTTTCCCTGACACTCTCGAGACGCCTGGAGACTGAGGCTACGGGGAGGAAGAGAGATGTTACAAACTACTGATGCAAATGAAGCGATCTGAACATTGATACCATGTAGTACTCAAATATGATTCTACACAAACGTTCCATTCATTTCCAATGCTGTTTGTGTTGAACCATTTGTGGCTTACGCTCAATTATTTGAATGAGCTGCTGTTTTGTTGTATGCTGGACTATTATTATGGTAAATTTTCATTGATTTCAGGTTTGCTGAAATGTTATGTGAAAAAACAAAACTGTTATTGGTGCTTTTAAATGTTCTCGGCCAGTCTGTCGCAGTACTATTTTTGTATGTTTTTATACCATAACTATTTGAATTATTCATTTTGAATTAGCTGTTATTTTTATATTTTCAGTTTTCATTTTAATTTTGGTTTAAGTTTTAGTTTTAGTAATTTTGCTATGTGCTTTTTGTAATTGTATTACATTTTTTTTAAATAATTTATATTAATCTTTAATTTATTTATTTATTTTTTCAGTTTTAGGTTCAATAATTTTAGTATTTAAACTACTTCAGTTAGTGCAAAGGTAACTGTGACGAGAGGGGCAGGGCCGAGAGCCGTGGGAACGGCGCGAGGCCGGTGGAGTAATTGCTAATGCGCGACACCTGCGCCACTCACCGGTCTCGAGTCTCACGGAGGAGCTCCGGAAGGATACAAAGGAGGAGTGACGACAATGAAAGACGAGAGAGGACCAGGCCTGGACTTTATTTTGTGTTTTGGTTTTGTTGGTGCGCGACAGTCGTCCGTGAGGGGCTGTTGCACTGTTTTGAGTTTATTTTATTATTAAAGTTTGTTTAAATGTTCGCCGGTTCCCGCCTCCTTCTTCCCGACCTACAAACTATGTTACATTGGTGCCGAAACCCGGGAGAAAGGAGGGGCACACTGCCAGGAGCCCTCGCTGCTGAGGGGGATCGCGGTGCTGAGGAGATCGGGCAGCAGGAACGAGTGGAGAGACCGCCGGTGGCTGCCCGAGGCGGTGGTGCTGGAACGATGGAAGACGAGGGGGGATGGAGAGCTCGCTGCCGCGCTCCTGGGTCGAGGAGGGGTGGCTGCCGTCCGAGAGGGAGCGGAGGAGTCGGCCCCGTTCGCCAGGAGGCCGGAGCCTGCTGCCATCCGCCATGATTGGGGAGGAGCAGGGAACGGGGGACTCGCTGCCGGCTGCCCTCGATAGGAGGAGCCATCACCGTCCGCCAGGAGGCGGAGGAGCGGTGGGCCGTCTACCAACGATGTCCAGTACCATCGCATGGCACCGCGAGGGAGAGCCTCTCAGCTGGTTGAGGACCGAGCGGCAGTGTGTCTGGGAACCGGACCCAGAATTTATTTTCTTTTTTCCTCTCTCCCCTCTCTCGTCTGTCTCTCCTCATCCTTCCGTCTCCTTTTCTCTCGTCTCGTCTGTCTGTCCTTACCCCCAGGTACGCCGCGGCCGCCATGATCGGCTCCCCCGGAGGGGGGAGGGGGGGAGTAGAGCGCAGTCTCGGGAGTACCCCCCGGCCTGCGAGGGGCAATGGGGGTATGTGACGAGAGGGGCGGGGCCGAGAGCCGTGGGAACGGAGCGAGGCCGGTGGAGTAATTGCGAATGCGCGACACCTGCGCCACTCACCGGTCTCGAGTCTCACGGAGGAGCTCCGGAAGGATACAAAGGAGGAGTGACGACAGTGAAAGACGAGAGAGGACCAGGCCTGGACTTTATTTTGTGTGTTGGTTTTGTTGGTGCGCGACAGTCGTCCGCGAGGGGCTGTCGCGCTGTTTTGAGTTTATTTTATTATTAAAGTTTGTTTAAATGTTCGCCGGTTCCCGCCTCCTTCTTCCCGACCTACAAACGTTGTTACAGTAACATCTCTAATTTTAATTTTAAGATTTTTCATTATATAAACATTTGGATCTAATGTTTATATTATATTTATTTTAGTTAACAATAATAACACTAGTCTCTCTGTGTACTTAGATGTTCTGCTAAAACTAGAACATACAGTAAAACCTGGAAGAGTTGCATGGTCTTGAGCTCTTTTACCTGTTGTATTCTTTAATGAGGGCAGATACTCTCTCAGACTGAGCACCCAGATCTCTGGAGAACCGGCACAAGTCATTCAGCTGACACTTCAAATTGTCCGACATGGGCTCAATGTTTAGCAGTGCTTCCAAGGCGTCCTGAGTCATAAAAACATTAAGTACAGTGACTTTAAAAGAACAGAAATTTTGTATTATTATTGCTTATAATTTGCTCTGTAGGCTTTACCTTTGCTGTCTGCCATCCCTGCACAGCCTCTTCACTGGAGCTCATTTCTTCTACCTGCTCCAGTTTGATGCGCCACTCCTGCAGCTTGCTGCTGAACTCCTGCAGGTCCTGCTCCAGCTGCGCAGCTAAGCTGTTGTACTCCTGCTCCGAGCTGGCCATCTGAGACAGAACGCCCTCCAGACCAGAGCACATGTGTTTAGCACTGCGCTCCCACTGTTCCCAGGCCGAGAGCAGCCCGGCCTCCTCTCTCTCCAGAACCTCACAGCCCACCGTGGACGTGTGGTCGCGTGTGGCGGCACCGTAGCTCTGCACACGGGTCAAGCGCTCATGGCCTTGTTTCCTGGAGTCTAACAGCCCCTAAAATGTAATCACAAAGCTTTAAAGTCCACATGAAATCAAAATTAACTTCCGTAATAAATGTTTCTGGTCTTATTATGTGCACAACAAGATATCAGAGCACAGCATAGTTTAACATACCCTGACTTTAGAGAGTTTCCTCTGAACAGAAGCAGCATCTCCAGACATGTCTGACCAGCGCTGAAGCTCTTCTTTAGCTGATGTGAGCCAGTCGTTCAGGTCACGCACCGACACCATATACTGCTCATGCTCTTTGACAATCTCCTCCATCTGTTGCACCTTATTCTGCAGAATAGGACATTACACAAAACATCAGAAATGTTGAAACTCAGAAAATTGACCTTATTTAATAAAAATGATTAATTTTGTTAATGATTCGTTGATGTATATTATTGTTATTATTATTTTTATTACTATTATTCAAAAGAAATGTTTTTAAAGTCTTTCATTAAAATTTTAATAATATATATTTTTTTGCTGATGTAACCAAGAAATCAATTCATTTCTTAACACAAAACATCTGTTTCATGTTGTTTTTTAAGGCATTCAGTAGACACTATTATCTAGAGTGAATTACCAGGAAGTGGTTTATGTATTGTATTGCATTGTATTGTACTGTAGAAAATAAAATAAAACAAGACCCTGGTGTTAAATTTATATCAGTAATATAATAATATATAATAATGATTATCAACAAAGAAGTTTGAAGTCAGGTTTAATAAAATATATGCCATATGCCATAATTGACAAGAATAGTAATTTCAAAATAAAACACTTCAAATTATGGACGTTAAATATGTTTCATGTTGTTTATAAAGCTTGATTAGAGTGACTTACAGCAAGTGGTTTGCCTTCTATATTTCAAATAAAATGACATATTTTTACCTTAATGACAGCTGTGATGTTGGTAAACTGGGTGTTGAACTCAGATTTCGGTCCCTCTGCGAATGCCTGGTCTCCTGTCTTCTCATACAGCTCTGTAGCTTTCTCATTCAGATGTGTCAGTGCTGACAAATGGACCTCCACATCGGCCTGAATGGCCCGCAGGCGCTCCAGTAGCGAAGCTTTCTCTTTCAGCCCGGGCTGCTGCGGCAGAGCCACCCCTGCCTCCTGCTCCACCATCTCCATCCACTGCTGCAGCTGAGCTTTACTCTCCAGGAAACTGCCCCACTGAGCCACGGTCCACTCCAGACGACTGCATCACACACAAACGATTATTACAGCATTCTGCCAAGTTACCCTGAGGCTTCATAAGAGGAGACAGGAACTCACCTGTGGCAGCTCATAGCGGTCATGAGGATATTGGCCCAGGAATCCTTCAGACTCTTGAGCTGAGAGCGGATCATTTCTTGTTTATCCCTACTGCAGTTCTTCAGCACCTGTTCTCCCTTCCCTACGGTCATGTTGAGCTTCACCTCCCCTTCACCCTTCATCAGCAAGATGTCCTGAAACAATATCATCAAAATGTCAATGCTTATATCATTTCAGAATAAATTTGTACTCAAAAATCATAAAAAAATGTGTGCATTATTAATTAAAAAACTAGTAATCTCAAAATTTAATTAAAAAAAATGGTCTGGCTGTTATATTTGTATCAATAACATATTAATATGTAATATCATTCATATATAATATAATAATGATGACAGACAAAAGGTTCATGTTTAATAAAATATATGGCCTATGCCATAATTGACAAGACCAGATCTCAAAACGCAACATATAAAATTCATGCCATTTTAATGGACAAGACTGGTAATCTCAAAATTAAAAATAAAACAAAATAAAATAAAATAAAAATAAAATGTTAAAGGCTTGGTATTATATTATATTATATTATTAATATATAATAATGATTGATGAAGAGTTTGCGTTTAGGTTTAATTAATTGCATTAGAGTGTAGGGCTGTCAAAAAGGCTGAAAAACTACATTCTAATTTTGTACTTAAATATTATCAAAATTCGAATTATATTCAAATTTAAAATGCATAATTTCAGTTAGGGTGAAGAAAAGCTTTTGGCTTCTCTTCTGAGGCCACAAGAGGGCGCATCGAGCAAAATATTACTAATGCACGTTTATTCAAAGCATAAGATAAAATTACTATTTGTGACAAAAGTGCATAATGTTAAAATAATGTTTATAAACCAATTATAATTAATTAAGTTGCTTAAACAACTATAAACAAAACATCAACATGTATGTATGCATAGTTTAATACAAAGGGCGGAAAGCCAATCACACAGAGTTCATTTCTCATTTAAAAACATGAGATGCAGTGGGATGGGGAAAAAACCCACCATAAAGTGTCAAGTCACAGTTGTTCTTCCTGAGTCTAGTCGAGTCACAGTTGTTCTTCCTGAGTCTAGTCGAGTCACAGTTGTTCATCCTGAGTCTCGTCAAGTCACAACTGATATTCATGAGTCTCGTCGAGTCACAACTGATCGTCATGAGGCGAGTCAAGTCACAGTTGTTCTTCCGGAGTCAAGTCACAGCTGATCTGCCAGAGCCTCATTATGTCTCAGCTGTTCATCCAGAGCCTCGTCACGCCTCAGTTATTCATCCAGAATCTCGTTACATCACATCTGATCATCCAGAGTCATGTCACGTCCTGTCTGTCACACCCAGATTCTCAAGGTCAGCCCTTCGGTATCCCAGTCTGGTAGCCAGTGTGAGGGATACCCCGCTGGTGTCTGCACGCAC